AGTCGTATTTTGTTTCTGTTTTATATATAGTAGGTACATATGCTTATAAAAAGTTTAGCCAAGCATATTTAATTGAATCAGAATAAAATTATTATAGATAAAATAGTACTTTATAGTGTAAAAGTGTAATGTTGGTGATTACCGCTGAAGGTGCCATTGAGACCAGAGCCGTTAAGTAAACATCAATGCACACAAGTATCATCATGCGACGTTTTTTAAAACACTTGTTAAGAAAATAAATACTAAAAATCATTTTTATAGTATATAAAAAGTTTATATAGAGAAACAATTTGTAAATGTGCAGTTAGTAAAATTAGTGATAGGTATCTTCACTAAAAGCATCTGGCCATGGTTTTTTAAGTGACCATTTCTTACTTTGGTCGGCCTTGCCTGTTTTCCCAGGAGTTTCAAACTTTCCATCATTCTTAAAACCTTCGTTGACTATCCGACTCTCTGATTTTCCTGAAAAAAAAGTAAAAAAATATGTAACGGAATAGAAACAATAACTTATTGACATGAAGCAATTAATTCAAAATTGGTAGAAAACCTGACTGAGTTGAACCATAATAACGTATCAAAAGAAATGGTCGTACTACAATATTACCTATTTACAATGTCAGTCTAACCTAAAAATGTGCAATGTAAACAATGCCTTTTTTTGTCTCAAAATCGTAAATTGAGTAAATTTGTAACTTCGGGCAGATTACAAACAAATAGTTACACGATTACATACCCGTCATAGATGCTGTTCGCCCATAAACATTGTCCAAATCCCACAAAATTCGTCCAGCTTGGTAGTCTACGCAACACCGCTGTAAAACTTTAAAAATCATTTCCCGCGTGCCACTCCGATTTACTTTACTCATTTTTATACCTTTCTGCGTAGTTTCGTCTTAATTTATTACAGTTTAATCCAAACAATAAAAAATACAAAAGGAAAACTGTTCCACAACTGAAACTCGATGACAGCTGATGTACCTACATAAGTTTGGTGTTACCAAACACATGTCATAAAAAAGTATGTCGTACAGCAAAATCAAATTATTTAAGTAGTAAGATTAAGAATAGTAATGACAAAATCAAAATGACTTGGAACATTATAAACAATGAAACTGGAAAATCTAAAACTCGAAATACTAGTTTTAATTTAAACATTGAACATAGAAATGTTACATCAGATGTTGAAGTTGCTACAGCATTTGAGAACTTTTTCACTGATATTCCAGTTTCAACTACAAAATCTTTGAACTCGTCCCCCATTGCGGCTGAATCAATATTAAAAGAACACACAAAACAATATACTAGTCAATTTAAATTTAAGTATGTTAACTGTAAAGATGTAATAAAATATTTCAACCAATTAAATAAAAAGAAAACTGCGGATCTGTGGGGTAACTCCGTGGATGTTTCTGGATCAGTAATTGAGACAATAGCTCCTATTTTGGCTAGCATTTTTAATCAATGTGTTGACTGTGGTGTTTTTCCTGATCTAATGAAACTCAGTAAAATAACTCCATTACATAAATCGGGTAGCACATCTGACCCCACAAACTTTAGACCTATATCCGTGTTACCCACCTTTAGTAAGATTTTTGAAAAAATTATGCTAGATCAAATGAAATCATATTTTTATAGTAATAACATTCTTCATAGTAAACAATTTGGTTTCACAAGGGGTCGCTCAACAACCGATGCCGGTGTTGAGCTTGTACAGCAAATTTTTGATGCCTGGGAGAACTCGCAAGATGCATTAGGTGTATTTTGTGACTTATCAAAGGCTTTTGATTGCGTTTTTCATGAAACATTGATCAGGAAACTTCACCACTATGGATTTAGAGATACCACTCTGGATCTTATTGTATCTTATTTGAGTGATAGGGTTCAGAGGGTTGACATCAATGGAGTAAAATCTCCTGGTTCGTCGGTTAAGATGGGAGTTCCGCAGGGCTCAATCCTTGGTCCTTTCTTATTTTTAATTTATATCAATGACTTGCCCTATTTTGTAAAGGATAACCACGAAATAGTATTGTTTGCGGATGACACTTCACTTTTGTTTAAAATTAAACGTAGGGAGTCACAAATTGATGACGTGAACAGGTCTATTTCGAAGGTAGTCCACTGGTTCAATGTTAATAATTTGATGCTAAATGAAGGGAAAACTAAGTGTTTGAAATTTGTATTACCTAATGTGAAACAGGTAAAAACTAATGTAAATATAAAGGATCGACATATGAGCTCTGTAGATACCACAGTGTTCTTAGTAATCACACTAGATTCTAAGCTGCAGTGGGGCCCACATATTGATGGATTGTCGAAGAGACTTAGTTCTGCAGCATATGCTGTAATGAAAATACGGCAGTTAACGGATATAGAAACTGCCAGATTAGTCTACTTTAGTTATTTTCATAGTGTAATGTCTTACGGTATTTTACTGTGGGGAAATGCCGCCGATATTCAAACTATATTTGTGCTGCAGAAGAGGGCTATTCGATCAATTTATAATCTTAAAGTTAAGGATTCATTAAGAGATAAGTTTAAAGAAATAGGTATATTGACAGTTGCATCACAATACATATATGACAACTTAGTATTTGTAAAAAAAAATATTAATTTGTTTACTAAAAATAGTGAAATACATACATATAATACTAGAAATAAAAATAACTTAACTTTACCTGCTACTAGGCTCCACAAAATCAATAATTCGTTTAGAGGTCTTAGTGTTCGCTTTTACAATAAAGTTCCAAGCAATATTCAAGAGTTAAGCATGACTAAATTTAAATCGACCATTAAAAAATCACTAGTTAAGAAAGCATATTATAAAGTGTCTGATTATATTACAGACAAAAATGCTTGGGTATGAACTATTCCAACGGCTATATGATTTAAATTATGAATTATGTGTTGACAATACTATAATTAAACTGAAAGCTGTATATAAAGTTAATAACTTAAGTAAGATTACCAGACTGTTTAAGAATATTTGATTGACAAAACGGCGTGGTCGTGATTTCTCCTTTGCTTTGTTTTGTAATTGTTTGTTGTGTCTTACTGGTAAATGACCTTAATTTAAGTAAATATGTTGTAGTTAGTATGGGTAGTTATGGGTAGTCATGCTCTCATAATAGTCTCTTCGGCGGTGTCGTGTGAGGCGGGTCGTTACGTTCCCTAAAATATGGTTGAGCGAAGCGATGGCTGGTTCATGCGTCATGCTCGTGAACGGGTGCTGCCAGCGGAGATGAGTCTGCCCTAACTTCCTTAATATTGAAGTTAATGTTTAGTCACACTGAATATAAATAACACTATTTGTATTTATACTGTATGACACAGCAATCAAAATGCAGGTAAACAATTAATGTATATTTAATAATTATGTAATGAAAAGTGACTTCATGAATCACCTCTGAAGTCATTTTTCAATTTGACGACTCTGTAAATAATAAAACAGGGAGAAAAAACTAGCCCTTGCTGAGTTTCTTGCCGGTTCTTCTCAGTACAAGGTCTCCCGCCGTAGATTTACGAACCGATGGCGTAGCTTCTAGACATTCATATGTGCTTGTAACAGCCTAAACTGAATAAATGATTTTGATTATGATTATGATTATCATGAATAATGTTAATTCCTCAAACATTCATGTCACGACTTTATAGACAAACTGTACGTGAGAACTTTATTGTAGAGTTGACTACCTCACAGAAGTTTATCGAAAAAGCCAACTCGATACATGTCGTGCCAAAAACTCCTAGAAACATTAGAATTAATCGCACGTCACATCGATAATCTAATGTGAAAAAAGCAGATTAATAAAATTTCATAGTAGGCTGTATGGGCATTGTTCCCTTTGCCGTCCCTGAAAAGGGAGAATCCCTAATAAAATTAGCCCTCTGACAATTCTAGTGTAGCGGTGTCCACTCTGAAAAAATATCGATTAATTTTTTTTATTTGATTTATCGCAACTATGCGTCGCGACGATGTATTTCGATGTATTGGATGAAAACATCAATGTTTTGAAAACATCGAGTACTTTTTCTACAATTTTATTACAAAACTCAACTAATGTGGCAAGTGATTATCTCAAAAGAGGCCACCTTTTCATAGTATTTTTTTTTACAATTTAAGTTTATGAAAATAGCTTAATCTATTATTTTATTAAGGTTTAGATAATTATCTTTCATAAAAACAAATTAACTCCTTTCATAATGAGTAGGTAAAAGTTAATACAAGTATAAGCCATGTATCAGAAAGATCTGTATTATATTTCACAAAAGATCAAATTAATAAACACTAAATAAGTCGCAACATTTTTGCTAAATCTGTTAAAAGAATATTAGAAAATAATATACTTCAAGCTTATTTTGTATGTATATCTATGTATTTATATGTGTTTATTTGTTTTATATACTCGGTTTGTTCATAGATTTTCTCGCGTATTATTGAAGTTACACCGCCGTCTTTCCAGCTTCTTTCTTGTCCTCTCCATCCCAAGGTTGTCTGGAAGAGATCGCTTTAAGCGATAAGACCGCCCATTTTTACACTGTAAGCAGCCATTATGTATGTTTTATATATCTTTTTTTTTATTTTGTGGTGTAAAATAAAGAGTTTTTATTATTATTATTTGTTTCAATAAACCAAATGTAATTATATGTTTAGAAACATAGAAACTCGCTCACCAGCCGATATGAGAAAAGTAGTTATTTTTTTTGTCACTGCACTGACTCTTGCGCAGTGCTGCCAACATCGGATCCATATTAGAGAATTTAGAAATAAAGATGCATTCATAACAGTAAGAAGTAAAATTTTAGTGGTCAAATTTAAGTTTTTTTACTGAATTCAAGCCAAAGTGGATATAAACACTACGTGTTTCGCTGTTTTTTTGAAAACATTAATGTATCGAGTATATTGAAAGCTTTTCAAAACATCAGATTGATTCGATGTTTTTCATTGCAAATATCGATGTTTTCGATGCATCGATTTATATCGAACATCCCTATTCTAGTGGTTTAGTGAACGAATTTTGGAGCAATCTATAGGAATTCAATCTTATATGATGAATCAAAGAAGGCTGTGTAATTGTTAAGGTCCACGAAAACAAAATATGACCTGAATCCAAATAAGTTTCATAGAAGAGCACATTCAAAGTTCATTGAAAATGAAGAAAACTAAGGAACGGTCAATGTCCATTAGAGAAACCAACGAATATGTGGACGCATTTAGTTCGATTAATGAAAGACCTGTTGATGATATATCCCTAGAATTTTTCTATAAACCTCATACAATTACCCTTTTAGCAGTATCTATTGCATCAGTAATATATTCAGCATTTGTCAGGTGAGAGCAAAGTTAAATTGGATAACCTTTTTATTAAATTATCTACAAATTAAATTTTACTGTACTGTATGTGAGAACAAAGTCGAATTTAATAACGTAATATTTAGTTCGACTTCTCATTACTTAGAAATGAAAAAAAAAGTCCAAATAAATGTAAATTGATTGATTTTCTTCATAGAGGGTTGCCCTGTGTTAGATGAAGTTAGGCATTACAAACTAATTTAATTGAATGATGTTCCAAAGTACTAAAAAAATAATTAAAAAAAAATATCAACAAACACTGGTGTTGATTCTGGCATGGTTCTATAAACCTTAACTTAAATTTGACAACAGTGCATCCTTTCGTTCTCTATACAAAATGAAAAGGACGTTGATGTTAAATTAATTTTAAGTTTAGAGAATTTTGTCAGAATTGACACCACTCACTTCCTAAAAACAAAATCACTAAAAAGTATTCTTTACTTATATCTAAAGAAGCTATTGCTTCAGATCTATCAATATGCATAGCACCAACTTGAAATGTTAATTTGACTTTATGTGTACTATAGAACAAATTGCAGACCTGCTTGCTTGATAATTTACTCAAAAATGTTTAAATGGACAAGTTTTCTTATAAAGAGAATGCTTAATTGCACTTAGGACCTTCTAACAACCAGGAAATTACATCAAAGATGCAAGTGACATTTGTAATTTGAGCTCTGTTTTGAAGGGAATAAGATTATCTTATAAATAAAATTGGAATAGTAATAAACATTTGTAGAAAATGACATAAAATTGTAAATGTAGCAGAAACTCTTTTGATTTCTTGATAAAAAGGTTAACATTGGTAACCTAATATGAAATCTTTCTATGGGAGAAACTCCAAATAATAAACAACCAACATTATGTCACAGGAAGGTGGTAAAATTTATCACATCAAATTTAATTGTTCAGAAAATCACAAGTTTGTTTCCAGGGTATGTATATGTACATTTAAGCAAAACTCTACCTTATTGTTTTGTGTAAGAAAATAAGCTTAAGGTAAATTGGCATAGAGTACTTTAAATATAAGTAAGGAATAGTCTTATTTCTTGCTTTTTAGTGGTTTTGTTTTTATAGTCGGTTTTTATTTTCATTAAAAATGTTTTAATTTTCCACTTTTTGTAAGCTAGAGTAACATCCAGTCATTCCCGCTCGTCACCCTCAGCTTTGCCCCTGGTGATGAGTGAGAATTTTTCTAAATAGAAATCTCATTAATCACCCCCCAAACTCATAATTCATAATATTGAATATTTTAAGTTTTACACCATGGATGGTATTAGTTTAGTAATTATATCTATTTAGATAAAGCGTCTCATATATTAGGTATAACAAATTTGACTCTGGAACTGTAAAACTTATAACACCTTTTGGTATTGAGTCTGATAAACAGGTGGTGTGGTCAAGCGCCATCTTAACATTATTATTTTTTATTTTTATTTTATTTTTATTTGGGAAACATACAATATTTTATTACATTTAGATAAATTAAATATAGATTAACATACATCAACAAAGTTTCCACTAACAATTAGTACAGTTATGAGCAGCTGTGTATTTAATAAAAAATCATATAAATTTAAATCAAATAAAAAACAAACAAAAACAAAGTACCAGAGAAGTTTACACAAATCAAATTGACAAATAAATAAATACAAACAATAACAGTTCATTCATTCAATTAAATCATTTAATTTTTAATAAATTTAAATAAATTTATTATTATCGGCTACTTTGGATAATTATTCGATAGCAACCGCTGTTCTACAACTATACTCATGAGGGATATGGTCTGGTTCACATGCTATAAGTTTATACAGTCAAAGCTCTGATATAATCTGTAAAATTAGTGTAAACTGTAATATTAGTGCAAATCAATGATTTAAGATGTTAATGATAATTTTATTCTGTGTGCAACTTTTATTTCAAGGATTATTGTCAAAATATCAGACCTGTAAAAATCTAGCCTTACGCAGTTGTATAGTAATATCCTTTATTATAATATCGAAAAAACTCGTGAAAGCAATTGCGGTCACCGGCGTGTCCACCAATGTCAATGCGAAATTGGCGCAGTGTCGTGAACGAGTGCGAGTATAATGCGATTCAACTAATAATAGGACCGACTGGGCGCCATATTTTGACGTCATAGCTGTCAATTTAAACCAAATAGGTAGAGTGAGCAAAAAAAAGCTTCTATTTAATAAAACTTATTTACTAAGATTAAGTGAGAAAAAACATCAGATTTTTTAATAAAATTAATTTACTAAGCTTGAGAAAAAAAAACAACCGATTTTTAATAATATTTCTTTATTAAGACTGAGAAAAAACCTTAATCAGAATCTAGCTCTTCAATTCCGCTCATCTCTGCATTACCTTACCGCCGGAGTAGTTATGAATAATCATGCAGGTCACATACGAACATGCATCCTATATGTAAACGAAAGTTTTAAATCGAGCTTCTGAACCCAACATAAAGTGACATGTGGTTGACGATTTAGGTTATCAACCATCCATAGCCAAAGCTCAATAAATGAAAAAAAATATCAACCAATATTTGTAATTTTTTGTTTAAAAATGTTTGGTTTTTAATCTAGAATTAGCTGAGTGCTAAAAATGTGTTCCGAGATTTTTTGCAAACCGTACTTTTCATGCGACATTTGACTTTCATGTTTTTGACTGATTCCTATGGGCGTGCCCTCCGGAAGGCCGCAGTGGAAATCTAAGGTTTCGTATACCTACATAAAGATTTAGCAGGGCATTTAAAAAAATTGAAGCCAGCAGGATAAATCTGTAGCTAAGTCGAATGCTACGACTCACCGATTGTAGGCTCTCTGATGAAACGCCTCAATTTTCATATTACTTTATTTGACTTATTTAAGTAATTTTGTTAAATGGTAATATTTAGAATGTAATTTGCAGGACTACGCTCAAAAATTTGAGCTTGAGTTACTACAAAAAAAGAAAATCCAATCAGTTGGTGGGCCCTCAGTTCTTATCTTACTTATTAAAAATTTACTCTTCTGCTACAAATTTGTAGTTACATATCTATTTATAGTCTAACTTAAGTTTAGGTTTAGAGATTCATGTCAGAATCAACACCATTTACCACTTTGTTTTTACCCGACTGCGCAATGCAAGAGCGCGAAGCGCGACACGCAGACGGTATATATAATAGTCAGTCCAGTCAACAAGTTGAAAAACGTGAACAATAGAGATAAAGCTCCTAAAAATATGAGCAATAGCTCATTGGATTAGGAATGACCTCTAGAAAAGGGAGTTTTCAGGATTTTACTGCATGTAAAAAAATGCAATTGTTATTAAAAAAATAAGATAATAAAAAGAGGTATTTAGTTTTTTGTTAATAACTCATAAACTATTAATATTTAAGATTTTTGAATAAAACGTTTTTTTATATTTCGATTGTTGAAATAATTAGTTAAGGAATGATTTTTTCTTTAAAAATTATAATGGGCATTTCTCCATAGGTAAAGTAGTTAGTAGTAAGTTAAGTATTTAAATAAAAAGAATTCCACAAAGCGAAAAATTTATGAAAATGGAAATTATATTCTTTCAACTATCTTATTAGTACCATAATCTTTTCAAATTAATATTTGTTACTATAAAAAATAATTTTATGTGGTACGCTGTCTTTAGCGGCAGTGCACCCATGCCGTAATTATAAAATTATTAATAATAGAGGTAGAGTTCCGGGAACTGGAACTTTTTTTCGGAAATTTGCTCCTCTTTAAGGACTTTGTTTTCAAATATCTTAATATTAATAGTTTATGAGTTATTAACAAAAAACTAATTACCTCTTTTTTACATTATTTTGTTAATAACAATTGCAATTTTTTACGTGCAGTAAAATCCTCAAAACTCCTTTTTCTAGAGGTCATTCCGAATCCAATGAGCTATTGCTCATATTTTTAGGAGCTTCATCTCTATTTTTCACGTTTTTCAACTTGTTGACTGGACTATAATGTTTAACAGTCTAGATGTGTATGTATGTTCCTTTGTGGTACACTAGAGACCGAACGGCTACACCGATTTTGATGATTCATACGTCAATCGATTCGTCTTAATAATGGGAGTTCTACTAAAGACATGATAGTAAACGAAATTCAATATGGGGACAATTAGCGCCATATTTTGAGAAAGAACAAAAAATAAGTTGACGAAATATGTCAAGTGGGGTATCATTGTCTAGATAATCGAAAATCATATTTAGGTTTCTTACACCATTTGTCATTTTATGTGACTGTTTAGGATCTACAAAGATTTAAAGTTGTATAATAACCACTTGCGCTTTTAATTTCAATCTTACGTTTGTTCTTGATCTTGTTTCTCTTTCACCCAATAAATACTGAATGGATTTTAATGAAACTTAACATTAATATAGATCACATAATAATAACATAAATCTAATAATTTAGGTAGTTATTGAGTGAATTGGCCAAAATATAACAAAAGTGTCAAATAAAACGGAAAAAATCTCACACTTGCGGGCAATATTGGCCTGCACTGGAAAAACAATAAAAGTTACGTGAATTTAATGTATCATTAAAATGTATCTCTTGAATAGTTCTACAAAATAACCCCGAGCACACACTGTAAGACCAACAGATACTGTTAGTTCTTTATGTTTGCATGATTTAACATAAGAGGGAGATAGAAAGTCTCTCTGAGTTTGTTTTGCCGGTTCTTCTCAAAAAGGTCTCTCAATTTTGGAACCGGTGGTAGTTTACGGTAGTTAGGGTCACATAAATAAACTAAAATTATAAACAAAATTATAAAAAATAATTAAATAAATTACTTTATTAATTAAATTAGCTAATAAATTCAAGCATAAACAAAAAGTTTTAAAAATCTTCCAATGAAATATCCGAACGCTCAATAAAAGTCTTTCGAAGGTAGCTCGACAAAGTAAATAAAAATCATTATTCTGACGACTCATTCCTGCAAAGGATGCGAAACGTCATTAAATAAATAAATTTTGTGCATCTAACCCGTTATTTTTTTTTATTTAATGAGTGATGTGCGTGAAAACCTAAGAAATCAAATATTATAAACTTTGCTTTGGTGATTGTATAATTATATAATTTAGCGATCAAGGTTGTTGCCACCAGTTTTTAAGACAAAAGACGAGACTTACGCTTTGGATAACCTGCGACATTAACGTCATTGATTAGTATTATTTTAGGATGTTTAACAACATTTGATGTTAACCTCTGGCATCTACATATTTGGTTTCTGTGAATTATGTAGGTAAAAAAAATATGAGACAAGGATATGACACTGCATTTGTGTCAATTTTAGCTAGTCGACAATAAATGTAAATTAATGTTAAATTTACTCCTAAACTACTAATAAGAACATAAGCAAAAGATATATTTTTGAATAAGTACGGAAAATAAGTACTAGTTAAGTATATAATTTACATGCATTAGATATATAGGTACGGACTTGATTTAACTTCACACATTTTGAGAAAATTGAGGCCGATATGTAACCTTGACCCTGGTGGTAAGGTCTCTAAATGTCTTAAGAAATCAATAGTTTAGACTTGATAATCCCCGCGATACTAACTCCCTTACTGAAGTGACAAAACTGCGGTATATACCGTCTTATGATCCTCACTAAAAAGTGTGAAATAAAACAGGTAAATTAAAAAAATCCAGCTGCTTAAATTTTACTTCAAATAAAAACTGAAAAGAAAAAAAGTCCAGTAGTGTATAATTCTTTTAAGGAAGGAACAAAGCTACTTTAACAGTCGGGACCCATTATTGAAAAAAAATATCTACGTTTATTCAAACAAAAAACCTATGTGTGTTTTTAGATAGTACATAAAATACACGGGAAATATAAGAGACAAGAAAAACGTGTCATTTCATACCTAAGCACAATTTTAAAGAACATAATGTAAAAACATTTAGTGATTACTTATTTTGACAGTAATAGCTGACACCGTTGACACGTGACGGCTAAAGAGCGAGATGTAATTGCTTTATGAATGATAGAGACTACTTTGCGGCGGCTGTTGCCAAGGGAAGTTGGGGTGGGGAATATTTGTGCCATTTTAAAATACAATAATGTTGGAATATAACCTGTCTATAAGTCCTTGATTTGAATAATAATATTAACTGATATTTTCAACCATTATAATTATTAGATATTTTTATTCAACTATTAACTTATAAGTAATAAATTTTTTCAACCATTAACGCCACATATATTACGAAACCTACGTTTTCCACTGTGGCTTCTCGGTGGGCACGCACATCAGATTCCTATATAGGTTAGTACCTATATTTTACCACGTTTGTATTACCTTTTTTTTTAAGATGTGTGTTATGTTTATATGACGACGTTATGTTTATATAAATAAACATCTTAAGTTCGTCTTAAAAAAAATTAAAAAAAAACTCGTATAAACGAGACGCAGCAAAAAAAATCGTATAAACGAGACGCAGCAAATTACTCCACCCTATCTGAAGTTAAACTTAAGTGGAGTCCAATCAAGAGCGGCAGAAAGTGTGCCGCTTCAGGCATACTCACCTTGCCGGCCTAAACCCGACCCCCTATTTACAAAGAGTCCTGGAACCCTATTTACCAGTAGAAACACAACACCATCAAAAGGTATTGCTATTTTACTGTGTTTTTTTGTAAGGTCGAGGTTGCTTCAACAGACGGGCGTTTCAATTAACACACCCTATGCACTGTTTAGAAATTATAAAAACAAGCATAAATAGTTTTATTTCATTTGTTATGTGCCGATTATAATCACCATGTTTTGCCGAATAGTCGCCGACTAATAGCCGACAAACAATGCCGAATCGTCGTCGTCTTTCCCATCTAGTTTGCGACTAGTCGAACCTTCTCTAAGACAAACAAATCGCGCAATTAGTCCGGTCAATTTAGACATAAAAATAGGGATCAAATAACAAAAACCCCGACAGAGCCAAATATTAGTGGAGACCTTTGTTTTACCCTTATAAATAAAAATTTAAAAGTCCCCATCAATCCCATGCGAGCTTCAAAAGTTATGCGGGGCCAAACCACGTTTAAAAAAAAACGCGCCGAGTACACTACCTACACTACCTACCAAAGGTGGTGAGGAAATGTGTGCATATTATGTAGTACGTGACTCTCACAATCACGATATCTCAGGAACGGTGATACTTAGAGAAAAATTATGAGAACCATTTTTGTAGAGAATTTTGAGATCTACAATTTTAGTCTGAGGTATTTTTTTGGTTAAACTTACCGTTTTTGAGAAAAAGTCAAACAACCTAAAATTTTGACCTTTGGCCCCGCATAACTTTTGAAGCTCGCATGGGATCGATGGGGACTTTTAAATTTTTATTCATAAGGGTAAAACAAAGGTCTCCACCAATATTTGGTTCTGTCGGGGTTTTTGTTATTTGAATTCTCTAAATTGACCGGACTAAATATTTTATTCACGACGGACGGGTCGCCGCGTTAGAAGCCGTGATTACTTAACTTTATAATAACTAATATAATCTCTTTCTTTTTCTATTTAGAGTTCATATTAGCTTTCGAAGTCTTACCTATTAAAAAATACTTCCGGTCCAATTTCAAAGATAGTTTTCATTTTCCATGTTAATTTTTATTAGGGTGGCAACAGATTTTTCCGATGTGAAACCCCATTTGCCACCGTAGTAGGTGACGTATAGGATTTTTTTTTTCTTAAAAATATTCCCACAGGGCTGCGGAGGGACCAAAGCTGGGGGTGACGAGTGAGAATAACCGGTAACTACTTGATGTAGGTAGCGGAAAACTTTTTGAGCATAACTATAGTTTCGAAATAACCCTCTGTTCCCTTTCTTTGCTCATTGAAGTTATTTTTCACAATGCAATATTAAATATTCTTGATTTTTAATAAGTACATAAAAAGACTTGTTTACACGCCGGGTTTCATGGTGTCGACGACTCGAGAGATCCCGGGTTCAATCCCTGTGGGGGATGTTTGTGTGATGAATGCGAGCAGTTGTCATGGATGTTTAATATGTATTTTTATAAAAATATGCTTATATATGTAGAGTATATGTATTCTATCCGTTACCCTAGTATCCTATAACACAAGCCATAAAGTGCTTACTTTGGGGCTACGCTAATTGGTGTGAGTGTTAAAAAGTGATGTATTGGTAACGACATATTTTTATGTAAATGTCGCTTCATCATAATAAGCTGAGAAGTTTCTTTCGCCTGTTCTTCTTGACAGCTAAAAAATGTCCTAAACAGGTAGGAAACAAATATAACGACCATTCAAGACAGCTTTTTTATAAGTCAACTTCAATAAAGTTTTTTTTCATTCCATTTCTATGGTATAATGGTATAAATTATATCCCTAGGGCTAGAACTATATAACGGATTTATGCATCATAGGGCGACATTTCGATGTTGGTTAAAAATAAAATCAAAGACTCAAAAAATAAACTAAGAAGTAAAAGACGCGTTCTAAGTAATCATTATAGCCAGATTTTTTAGAATATAAAATTAATTCATAGAATGGTCCAGCAATGACCTTTTTAATGATTTTTTAAATTAATTAGTCAGCTATAGTTCCGTATTTGTGTATTGCAAAACGCAAATAGCATTTATGTATTAAGTGCATGATTACTGAATGTAATAGTAAATTAGTGGAAGCAATGATATTTTTTGTTGTTTCAGAGATGAATCAAAAATACAGGATAATATCTGGTCTGGTATCTGCTGTGTAGTTTTCTTCTTTCTTATAATATCAGTCCTTACATTTCCTAATGGACCATTTACTAGACCACATCCTGCAGTCTGGAGAATTGTGTTTGGACTTTCGGTTTTGTATCTTCTGGCACTGCTCTTCCTATTATTTCAGAGTTATTCGACTGTTTATGAAATAATGTACTGGATTGATCCCAATCTGCGAAATTTTCATATTGATATGGACAAGGTAACTAGTTCCTTAATCGGGATGATGACTAATTTTTTTTTCTTCGTTTATCAGGTAGATTATGAAAAAGTATTGGACACGTATTTTTTCTTTTTTCACATAATATAAACATTGCAGAGATATATTGATTTGAAAAGTCGCATGACGTCACTTTTGAGTACACTTATAAGTGAAAATTCACTCAGAAGTGACGTCACGAGCCCCTACTCCCAAACTTTGACGCGCTATAACTTTATCATTTTTTGATTGATTGCCCAAAGAAAAAATACGTGTCCATTATTTTTTGACCATCTAACTGACGGACTAAATAGAATTTCGTTTTCTGTACCCCGTCATCACCCCTATTCATATTTCATTTTTATTGTTTCATATCTACATTCATTCATTTTTTTTTGTTGTTTTAGGAGTATGCAGTTAACTGTTCTGATATAAGTTTTGCAAAAGTGTGGTCTCATGTTGATGTATTTGCATGGGGTCATTTTTTGGGCTGGACCTTTAAAGCAATACTTTTTAGACATGCTGGGTTGTTGTGGGCTATATCTATTATGTGGGAAATAACAGAAATAGCTTTTGCTCATTTGTTGCCCAACTTCTTAGAATGTTGGTGGGACTCTGTTATATTGGATGTATTAGTGTGCAATGGTTTGGGTATATGGTGCGGCCTTAAAATATGTAAGGCTTTGGAAATGAGAGAATATAAGTGGGTCAGTATAAGGTAATTATCATTTTAATGTTTGCTTATCATAAATATTCTGGCATAATTTTGTATAATACTACCTACTATCTTACAAGTAAATAATTGACAGTGTATTTTTTTTTTAAATCTAACTCAGATCAGGTATCAGGAAGGAATTGAAACCAACACCCATCGCTATCTAATGTATTCAATAGCTTTTAGATTATTTTAGGCTGTGAGGCAGCATCATTTCTTGACATTGAAGGTAACACGATGTCAAATAAATCAGATACCTTTACAAGTATCAAACATTCATAGGAAATAACGGCAATAAAATGTAATATATTTTTATTTGGACGTGAAAAGCGCAGAACCATTGTGCATGGAAATCCCTTGAGGAGGCCTATTGGCAGTCGTCCATCGGCTGATGATGATGACATTTTTATTTTAAGAGCCCTTCTAGTATATATATATATATATTGCATTTTACGGGTGATGTTTCGAGTCTTATAAAATAATTATTAATGGACTTATAAAAATATATACGGATTACAGTAGTTCAATGATGGTAGATTAGTTTTATGAAAGTTTTTGATAGTAATTCTATTTAATTCAATATCAAAATACGAGGTAAACCTGCATTATTTTTTGAGAAAACTCACGGAGGTTAGATGTTTTTTTTGATAATTTATGAGATGGAAAATCAAAATTCTAATACATTATGTTACAACAAAAACATATTTCTGATGTCGTAGTGATTAATTTGATCTAATTTATTGAACATTATTGAGAGATTGAGTTTTTTCCGTAAACTAGCTGCAATAGAACGGTCAGTACAAAAAAAGGAAAATAGTATTTGCAAATATTCTACATTAACTTACAATAGGAAGAACAAGCTACTGTGTAGTTCTATTGGAAATAGTCAAAATCTTTTCCAAGGGAGTAAACGAGGCGCTCAAAAATTACGATTTATTGCAAAAAATGTGAAAGGGCTCTTAAGTATTTTAGTGCATTTTTTTTAAGAATAAAAATAACAATTCTGCTGTGTAGCTGGAGCCATGTAATTGCAATTGCATGCAACAAAATAAGTATTGTTAGTGATATAAGTTTTTAAATTTCTATGTAAAGAAGATGTTTTATCTCAGTTTTATACCTTAACTAGGGTTTCCCAAGTTTTCTTTGTCGTAATAATTCATGTAATGGAACATGTTATTTCATTTCAGAGATATTTCATCAACAACTGGTAAAATAAAGCGGGCTATACTTCAGTTCACACCAGTTCACTGGGCTCCAGTTAGATGGTTGGATCCGACATGCACTTATATGAGATTTTTTGCTCTAAGTCAACTTGTGGTGTTTTGGCAAATATCAGAACTAAATACATTTTTTCTGAAACATATATTTGAAATGCCACCATCTCATCCTTTGGTTATAGCACGCATTTGTATTATTGGTGTTATAGTTGCGCCTTCAGTAAGGTAAGCTTAAATATATTTTCAATCATATGACAATTACCGAAATATAGGAAAAACATAAAACCTAACCATTTGACACTATTGATTGTTTTAGATCGAGCTTTTTCACCCCCAGATTTGTCCCCTCTGGTGGTAATTTTCTTTATAAATAATTCTATACGTAACAAACTCTTGTCAAAATTGAATTGATTAATGGATAAATTTATATTTATTTAAATCAATATTTTAAAGCTACTTTTTTGGTCGTGTTTAGTTATGTGAGGTTAGTTAAGTGAGCCCATTAGATATTCAAGAATTAATAAAATTCTCTCAAATGGGTGTTGACTGTTAAAGTACCTGTGCGCATGCGGGTGTTTTCGTTTTTTTTTAATTTACTGATTTTTATTTAGGATTTAGCTTTTTCAGTAGTACGACTAAGATAATATTTTCTTTTTAAAAAGGGATTTATTTAAAAGAAACCCTTCATTTCCAAATGCAAAGGTATAGTTTTTATGATGATTTATATTGGGGGTGACAACTCCATACCATAACTTTTTTCTCAAGATTTTCCTGTACTACTTTGTTGGCGTGACTGCCTACAACATCCAAGAGTGATGTGGGATAAATGACATTGTTACTGTACCTATCTCTAATTGTATGTTCCTTTTTAGGCAATATTATATTTACGTAACCGACCCGAATTGCAAAAGAGTCGGTACACAGTGCTGGGTGTACGGTGCCATCATGGTGACAGAGTCTATGTTATGTATAAAAAATGGAAAGGAATTATTTGGTCAAGCTCAAGTTTGCAATGTGATTGTATGGCTTGTTATACAAATTTTAGTATCAATTGGATGCGTATACGGAGTCGTAGTTTACCATCGATATTTTGAGGTATTTTTTTATTTTTCTTGTGATTTAAGCGCCGCCTCCACAAGCGAGAGAACCGCGGTGATTCGTCGCGCCCGTATTTTTATAAACTCTACACAGCGATTTTACTACGGCGATCGTTCTATAGTGCTGTTATTATGCAGAGATAGGGACGTATTGACCCTAGGGAAATGAGGGTCATGGCCCGGGCTAGCAGGCTGCGTGGGGCGGTTGCAAGAAGCGAGTGGTAGTAGAAGCCATATAAAGGCACTAGTGGGCGCTCGCGATTTCGTTTTGGTTTCCCATACAATCTTCTACTCCCTTTTAGTGTTACGGTAGAAGTTTGTATGGGAAACCAATTAAACCACGAAAACGAGATTTAGCGGTTAAAGCGTGACGATGTTACAGACACTCGCATTTATAATATTAGAGTGAATTCGTTACTGACCTATATTTTGATTTTATTTTCTAATTGTAGGTTATGTAAATCTTAATCGGCCCGGGGCACCAGATTTTAATATACGCCCTTGCAGCGTGTTACACACAATTAAGGAACTTTTTGAGTGGAAAAAGCGGGATTCTTTCGTCCAAAGCGGGACATAGTAAAAAAACCTTTATGATCAAAACGTTATTGAATATTTATCTTTATTACGCGCCGGGCAGGCGGCCTGTCTACACTTGTCTGTGCCACCCGCCCGCGCTTTCTCAGTACGCTGCACGCACGGTCGAGTATACCCGAAAAGCGCAATTGAGCCTGTCCAGCGCGGAACATTAAATTTTGATTTAAAAATCGGGACGTCTTGCAACGCTGGTGACGGTGATACGCAGTGCAAAAAGTGGATATTGAAATTTGGATATTTTTTAATCTCAATAGCCTCGCGCATTCTAGGAACTCCTCTTTGTTTGCCCGATGTAGGAGATGATGTGCTCTCCTACATCGTGCAAACAAAGAGGAGTATAGGGACTCGGGTAAAAGAACATATCGTAGATATGAAACATAGGCGCGAAAATAAGTCACACTGCAGACTTATTTTCGCGTGTTTGTTCCGTGTTTCGTTCCTAGAATGATGCGCGAGGCTATTGAGATTAAAAAATATCCAAATTTCAATAGGGAAGATGGTTGGTATATACCAGCTTGGGAAACCATTATACAGGAGATAAAATCCCAACCTTGAGCACACACTGCAAGACCAACAGATACTATTAGTTCTTTTTGTTTGCATAATTTAACATAAGAAGGAGATAGAAAGCCTCTCTTGAGTTTGTTTCGCCGGTTCTTCTCAGAAAGGTCTCCCAATTTTGGAACCGGTGCGGTGGTAGTTTACGGTAGTTAGGGTCAAATAAATAAACTCAAAATTACAAAAAAGAATTTTAAAAGTAAATTAAATAATAAATTCATACATGGACAATAAAACTTTAAAAATCGAACAATGAAATAACCTAACGCTCAATAAAAGTCTTTCGAAGGTAGCTTGACAAAATTAAATGAAAGTTTGTTTCCGACGACGTTGCCTGTAAAGGCTACGAAACGTCATTAAATAAATAAAGTTACGTGCATAACCCGTAAAAACTAGTTTTATAATATTTTTTTTAAAAAGAAGTACGAACGAAAGAACGGGGATAAAATAAATCTTAGATTTTTGTCTAACGAATCACAATTCTGGGCACTACATGTCATAAAAATTTTGAGTCCGCCGGAGACTGACTACTATAATATGGAGGGTTCCATATTAATTTGAATCGTTTCCTTTTGGAGGGGGTCACAAAACTTACGAATTTTGACGACTTACGACGTTAGTAAATTTTGAAAATACAAATTATTATAAACAAAAGCTTTATAAACAAAAGGTACAAAAGCGGCATCGTCACGATTCTTACGCTCATGGAGGTGGCGCATTGAACCCCACACTGGCATCTTTCGAGCGTCATTGGTGAGCGTCATTTAACATCAGCCTGTTGCCAAATTTAATTTTAGGTTTAGAAAATCATGCCAGACGTCATTGGTGTCGATTCTGGCATGATTCTCTAAACTTAAATTTGACAACCATGTATCCTTGTCATTCTCTACCTACACAGAATGAAAAGGAGAGACTGATGTTAAATTTAGTTTTAGAGAATTGACACCATTGTCGTGCTAGCATCCGCGTAAATTCAACGCGACGCTAACGCTGGCCGGCTGCTGAAACCCGGGTTCCCGAACCGCTGGCGTCGCGGCGTCAGTTAAACGTTTTTTGCGAACTAGTACAATGCAAGCCGGCCAGCGCTGGCGTCGCGTCGACTTTGCTCGGACGCTGGCACGACGACGACGCTCAAAAGACGCTAGAGTGGAGCTTCTGTTAGTTATATAAATACCTATATCAGAAAAAAAGGTCTTGTTTGTATAAAGTAGTAACAAAGTCTGTTTTGACTGGTTATGATATCACTTGAAGGTATTTTAAAACGGAAAATATGTGTTTAATTAATAATATTTTTACCTTAAAGTTAATTCGCTCTGGTTGTCCTGATACGGACTAAGGCATAGATGGCTTATTTCTAGAAAAGTGTATTAAGGCATTTGGGCAGTTAGTCAGGACGTAGCCAAGAAACTCGGAATTGACCGTCAAAGAGTTTTGTATGGGGTTCGTATACCCAGACGGGTGCGGGCAAAAAGACCGAGTCGCCGCACCGCCGTTTGTGCTGCGCTTTAGGTATAGTGTGATATTGTTATTTGATGATGAATTGGAAATGTGTGATGTTACCTACCTTAAAACATAAATGACATGACCGGAGCAAACGTTGTTTAGGTCATAGTGTAGTCACCGTATTTTTAATGTATGGATTAAATCGGTATAAATGTACTAATTCATTCAATTTTTTAGGGGGTAAAAGACAAAACGAAAAATGACATACCAAACAAAGACAAATAAATGGAATTTTTATTTATGTAAGTAGTCCTTTTTTTCTAATATTTGTTTATTAATGTAATTTCTGTAAATCTAAATTACAAATATGTATGAGTTAAGTGTTTTGTGCAATATTTGGGAAGGAAAACAGATCTTACCTGCTGAACGCGATTTCATACCAGCATCGCCCAGCAGTTTACAAGACCTTGGAGGGAGGATAGGACGGAGAATCGGTGTGAACAGACAAAACGCAAGTTTAGAGTTACAAGTCCTTATTACTAAAGCTATGATAGATACACTATGACCCAATGAAACACTATTCAAATTCAATTGAAATTCCTCAACGCGGCCATTAGTGTTTCATTAATAGTATTAGTAGTTCCCCACCATATGGCCACATCTCGGGGTCTAGCTGGGCCATAACTTGATTATTGTCGCCGGGCGGTCGTGCCCTGCCCATTATATCATATTCCAAGTACAGTAAAACGCCGATTATCCGAACACTGATTAACCGAATCGCCAAAATCCGAATCGGTCCTATGCTTAAAATAAAAAAATTACACCAAGTTATTTTTGTTTTGTTTTGTTGTAACAAGTTGGAAGTCGCTGGAATCCAGATATATTTCAACTATTACCTATGGTTGAAAGCTAGAACCAAGACACTACATGTATTGCGTCGCGCGGTTTTTTTTTGCGACTATGTACCTCTATTATTGTATTTAGTATTGTAGAACTGTGTTTGTCAAACTTAATAAGGTTATTTCTATGTGTGACAGTTAGTTTTTCTTTATTACGAGTCTATATCTGACTATCCGAATCGACCCTGGTCCCAATTAATTCGGATAATCGGCGTTCTACTGTACATATTTTAATTTTATGTGAAATTTTAACAAACATGCACATGGCCTTGCTGATGCTAAAAAAACAGTATCTAAAAAGCCGTTTTAGCCGCTTTTGATATAAGAAACTTATAGCTAATGCATTATTTATCCGTGAATAAATTTGGTAAAACTGTTCTTTCTGGGTCCAAGAGTTGAGACACTTCACATTTTTTTGTTAATAAGTATAGTCACTATAAATCAGTCACATCGTTCTCTCTCAATCAAGAATTTACATACAATCCAAATTGGAGCTTCCTAATACTAATAGTCTCTAGCTTATGGATGCTCAGCTATGGATGGAAATAACGAAACTATTGAGGTTCGTTGTTAATCCCTCTCTAGACCACGCATGACATCGCAAATTCGCGCGGTTTTGTCTTCTAAACTTCGTGGGCTCGCGAAAATCCTGTTAATGATTTCGTATGTTTTTGTGTACGAGAATTAGCAGCCAAATTTCTGTATTGTTCTGGTCTTTGGGCAAACCCTTGAGTGTAGTACCATCAATTTTCGTACTAACAGAGATCGCTAATCAGCAACTACCCGCATCGCGACGGCGCGCGTTAACAACTAACATAATATTTGATTCTTAGGTTTTCACGCACATCACTCATTAAATAAAACTAGTTTTAACGGGTTAATGTACGAACTTTATTTATTTATTGACGTTTCGCAGCCTTTTTAGGTCTGCATCGTCAGAATAAGGAAAAAATATTCTAACGTGCATTAACCCGCTAAATCTAGTTTCATTTAACTATCATAATGTTTATACGTACATTTAAGGAAAAAAAACTTTTGTTTCAGGTTAGTCAAAGGATTAAATTTTAGTCTATTAGAATTCCAACGAACGAGATATAGTAAAAACCAAAGAAGTAAGTAGGTACTTCTAGCTTCTGCTCCTATTCATCTGTGTGTACTTCACGATCCCAAGACGAAGGGTACTTAACCTTTTTATAGAAGGAAAGAATATTCTTTAGTGTTTTATTTATTGTCTATATCGGTTCGTCGTGTTTATACTCATAAGAGTAAGCACTCAAGCATTTATGAATAAAATAGATATTATGATAATAATATGTAGAATTTTTTCGTCACATTTTCGCCAATATTTTTGAAATTGCTGAAAGTTTGACTATTTATACCTACCCGCTTTCAATGTTTTGTCAATATACTAAAGATGACATTGCTCGATCTTACTGTTACCGATTTTTTGCTGACAGTCCGCGGTCACTACACTAACCTAACATGGTATGGACTGGTGTTATTGAATATATTCATCAACCATTAAATTAAACTAATAAAAAGAATTAACATATTTGATAAATATTTTCAACCGTATCGAATAAAAATATTCATCAATTCATGTTGATTTTAACGCGAGAGTAATATTAACTAGGGATGCAAAGTCTTTTTAAATATCGATATTTATATCGATATATAATCGAAGTCAGGAAAATATCGATATCCGATATGTCGACCATTTTATCTCTATATTATCGATATATCGATATTTTTTCTTTTTTTTTTGCTTTGTATTAAGTTTGCAAAGCAAAAACCTATAATTAAGGAAGCAAAGGTTTCCGAAATATCAATATTTATAATGTGGGCAGGTAAATATCGATATCCGATCCGATATATCAGCCTTTCCAACACGATATTTTCTATATTTTTATAGCTTTGTACGAAGTACCAAATCAAAAGCAATTTCGAATCAAAGATATTTTTTGTTTAAAATGTTTGCACGCAGCCAAAATCAGAATAGATAATCATATGAAAAACAATTGTTATGTATTAGTAAAACCTACACATCAGGGGCGTGCCCATGGCTTCAGAATAGGGTAAGCCCAATGCTTCCGAAATTACTATACCTATCTTACTTTCTTGACTTGGTGAGTTTGAAAAATTTACGATTTGTATAAGATTCCTAATTTTATTTTGTGTTATATTACAATGATATTAAATTTCAATTAATCAGTAGTTGACAATTATTTAGAAAGAGAGGCAAGGATTTTATTTAAGTGCATGAGTTACCATTAGGTATACGATTATACCTATATACGTTGGTGTCGATTCTGGCATGATTATCTAAACTTAAAACTAAATTTAACATCAGTCTCTCCTTTTCATTCTGTATAGAGAATGACAAGGATACACTGTTGTCAAAATTAATTTTAGGTTTAGAGAATCATGCCAGAATCCACACCAGTTTAGTATATTTCTTTGGGTTCAAGATTTTTTTAATACATCTATAAGCTATTGCGATTTCAAAGCAATAGTTATTTCGATATTATTCAATTTAGATAGTCATAGAAGGTAAATTAATTGATATTATTGTGTTCAAATTTAGTCTACGAAATATCGATATTTTGGTCTCGATATTATCGATATTCCGATATATCGTTGCAACCCTAATATTAACCCGTATGGATAAATGTAACCGACTGATAAAATTATTGTAATAAATAATTTGAACCACAGGCCGAATTAAAAAAATATTGACTGCCATGGTACCTATCAATAAAAATATCATTTAACGAGTTGATCCCAATAATCTCCCTTAAATCTTAGAGTCAGGAGGTTAATTCTCAAAGGAGATTGCTCAGCTTCCATACATGTTTGGCCTAAAAACCAATAACCATGAAAAATTGTTTCCTACATTCGAAATTATATATAAATTACCGTAGAAACGAATATTATCGACGGCCACTCCTGAGAACTTCTATAAACCATATACACTGAATGATTTTGAGGTTATGTTTGCAAATAGGCACATAGGTATTAGAATAATAAAAACCAAATAACTTATATAGGAAAATAGGGCAATCAAGCCAAGTACCTACCGATATTATGTATTAGATTCAGGTATATAGAGCATGTAAAATAACAGATATGTGCATGTTTTTAAAAACACGAACAGAAACTGTGTGATGATTGTGAATGAGCCACAGATTAGAGAGAATTTTTAAACTCTCGTTAATCAAAGAAAGCTAAAAGCTGTAGGTTATACAGCCATATCTTCAGCAGCTTCATTATTTTTGTTATGTTTTTATTATAACCATATTTTAGATTTTTAGTGTATCACACCTTATAATGTGTTTATTTAGGTGTTTGGCAAAAAATGTACGGCAATAGACTTTATGATGTCGCCTACCATCTATATTAATTGTCTTAGCACATTTGCATGTAGTAAAAATGATAATAAAGTTGTGGATATTAATACCACCCTTGTAATAAAAAAAATATATATTTTATCAATCTTTACAAAATAGATTTGTTTTGATGTTATATAAACAACCTCGATCAGTCTTTGTGAATGTTAGTAGTAACATTCACAAAGACTGATCGAGGTTGTTATGGGTGTAGACCCATAGCCAATAAAAATGATTCGTATGTTTTCCAAACCGGTAAAAATAGAAGTCCTTTTTTAAAATTAATATATTATTTAAAGGTGGCCGTTAAAATCTAATGACTGTAAAATAAAGTATAAATTACGCCAAGAATTACTGTATATGTCAATATTTTATTTGCATTTAGGCCAATTTGACCAATCTCCTTTATATGCAATAAAATTTAACACGAGTGGTGGCCCGTGTCATACGATTAATTCGTGTGAGTGAAATGGATATAGGGTCAGTTCGCCTGTTCGCGTCCATCGCCCAATTCGTGTCCATTTTACGGATCTCCTTTTAAAAAATCCTTAAAAATAAGCAAATTAACACACCAATCAAACGAAAAGTAATTACCGCTAATACCTTAATATATAAGAGGCACGAACACATGGTCAAAAGGTACGTGCGCCAAACAAGCCCGTTTAAAAAAATAGTTGGTCTCGGTTATTCATCAAGGGAGTGCGTACACGCGGGATGTTTAGATAAAAAATAGTGTGCAGCGGCGCGCTCGATGGTAAGTGTTTTATATTTTTATGTTAATTTTAGGATACATAGCTGTTTCTAGACTTTTATAGTGGAGAAAAGAATAGTATTAATTATAAATTTTCTTATGTTTTTTTTATATTTAATGAATAAAATAAGGTGGACGCGAATTACTACATCCACTATTTTCGTTAAATACAATTAATTAATTATAATTTAAAATATAGGTATTGATTATTATTATTATACATTTTTATTATGACTACGTGTTTAAATGCTATTATTAAATGAAATGAGTAAATTCAATCAATCAATCAAATACTTTGTTTCATTCTTATTTTTTTTTCTATTTCAGATGAGTTCTTCGGAGACAAGAAAGTAGAAGGAAAAGAGAATATACACAGAAGATGATTTAAAGAAAGCGTTAAATGAAATTCGAGAAAAGAATACATCGGTAAGATCATATGCAAAGAATATGCTATTCCCAAGACCACCATATTGTACAAAATCAGTGGGTGCAGACCAAATGAAGTAAAGAAACCGGGACCAGACACCACCTGATGCTACCCGAAATTTCTAACAAAGCACGAAAAGATAATCAAAGGACTCTAGCAACCATATCTTCTGCTGCATGCAGTTAAGCGTTAAATGAAATTCGAGAAAAGAATACATCGGTAAGACACATATGCAAAGAATATGCTATTCCCAAGACCACCATATTGTACAAAATCAGTGGGTGCAGACCAAATGAAGTAAAGAAACCGGGACCAGACACCACCTGATGCTACCCGAAATTTCTAACAAAGCACGAAAAGATAATCAAAGGACTCTAGCCACCATATCTTCTGCTGCATGCAGTAAGTATTAAGAAGATAAAGAGTAGATCTAGAACGAAAAGCAGGAAGCAGTACGAAAAAGTAAGTTAGAACGAATAGAGAAACAAGAACAGAGTTTAAAACACTCTCAAACGCTTCGTAAAATTGCTCCAAAACGAAAGAAGAAGATACATGCTCATCAAGAAGGAAATGGTGGTAAATCAGGAATTTAAGAAAGAAAATTTTCTGAATGTGACGATTTTAATTTCAGATGTAGAAGACGACGATGAGAAAACATACCTTGTAATTTTAGGGTAAAATTAACAGAACTGATTACTGTTTATTCTTAAAGTTGCAATCATTATTTACCTACTACTCATATAATTTTAAATTCAATCAATGTTGGTTTTAATATTTGTATTCTAAAATAAAGAAATTGTTAAAATAGGTACAAACTTTCTCTACAAATTCTTTAAAATATCACCCCTATATTCCTTTTCTAAGGTGGTGGACGCTAAATGGTCCACGGGTGGACGCAAAGTGGGTAAAACACCTAATTCCGAAGTTTATCTATTTAAATAAAAAACAATAGATGTTTCGAACAGAACTGAAAGTTAATCTTAAAAAAGACTATTTAATGAACACATTACATAATTTTTTCATAGAAATTAGTGCTGGGATATTTTTATTATCGCCGTCAAACTTTCCAACTGCACTAAATGGACGCGAACAGGCGAACTGACCCTACTGTCTCGTTTTCATGCGACGTACGAGCTTGCATAGGTAATGTGTGTACCACAATGAGTTGAAAATGTGCACCTCTTTATGAACCTTTTTTACTTTTTTGTGTGTGTTTGGCACGAAATGTATCGAGTCAGCTTTCTCGATAAGCATCTGTGAGGTAGACAACACTACAATAAAGTTCTCACGTCCACTTGACCGGAATAGCGTATTTAAATATTAAAGATTTCACTAATTCGTCAGTTGTGCAGACGGTTGTAACATAAAATCAAACCAATTTTATTTCACAATATCTCCATGAAGGAATTAAAGAATAATTAAATTAAGACACCAACTGCACTCGATGAAATCCCGCCGAAAACTCTTTTTACATCTTTTTAATGTAATTTGAATGAATGAAATATATATACCTAGTTTGTTTTGATAATATGTTTGAATGAGTGAATTTCCTTGCAACAGAAGTAACTTAATTTCTTTTTGTGAAGTTGCCTGTAATGTGAATATTGGATTGGAAGATTGGCTGT